AACGCTGGTTGTGCTGGGAAAAGGGGAGAGGGAATGGTTTCATGCCACGGCGTCACCGAAACCACCCCGGGGTTGTCTCCGTCACCCGCAGGTTTCCCCGTGCCGTCGTTGAACGTCAGCACCACCCACCCGGCAGCCGGCACGGAGGTGACGGGCCTCTGCGCTTTGCCTCCCGGTCACTTCTCCGACCTCCGGCTGCAGATTCACGCCGGCCACCGCGTCCTGGCGAGGTGGGGACCGTCCCCGCTGAACTTCTCCCTGATGGTGCACGGGGAAGACAACGGGATGGAGCTGAGGTGCGATGCCAAGCTACTGGTGGGCAGCAAAGCTTCGAAGAGGAGCGAGCCCATCCGGCTCAACGTCACCGGTGAGAGCGCCGCGGCCGGGCTCCATCCCGAGATGCCGAAGGGGATATTTCCGGATGGAAATTCATTTGGTTTTGGATAAGCATGGAGTGGTTTGGGTGGGAAGGGACCTTAAATCCCACCCATCCATGGGCAGGGACACCTTCCATAGCCCAGGGTGCTCCCAGCCTCATCCAGCCTGGCCTTGGACACTCCCAGGGATGGGGCATCCACAGCTTCTCTGGGAACCTGTCCCAGCGCTCCCACCCTCTGCGGGAAGAATTCCTTCCTGCTGTCCCATCTCCATCTCTTTCCGTTTAAACCCGTCACCCCTTGTCCTGTCACTGTACGTCTCACGTGACGTGTCCGTTCTGCGTGGCCAGGCCTTAAAGTACATTGTGACAGTTGAAGAATTGACATATTTCCTTAATTACCCACATTTACGTTAATAGAGGTCGCTCCTGGCAAAAACAGAAAGAGCAGAAGTAGGGTTTGGGGTCTTTTTCCCTTTACAGAAATGAGATTTGTTACGCTGCCCGCGTCCGACGCAGTTTTAACGCGGATTCGTTCCGCCGTAGCGTCTTCTGAATCCCTAAAGGTGTGTTGCGGTGCCCCAAAAATTCAATTTGTGATGCCAGAGCAAAAATTCCAGCTGGAAATCTTGTGTTTAGGAGCAAGATTATCTTCGTAGGTAAAGGTAGACAGAGCGTGCGACTGCCGGAAAGGGTAAAGGGTGATTTATTCCTGATGGTTTTAGTTCCTTTTTCCAGTTCTTCCCTTATTAAGCGGGAAAACCATCATTTAACCGGGTGACTGACAGAGGTTGTGTGCTCTTAACGGCACAAAAATAGGGAAAACCACTTAATTTGGTGGGTAAGGGTTTTTCTGAACGCCAACTGGTAGAGTGGGGCAGGCATTTGCCGCGCCGACGGGCATCGTGGTCATTCCCCAGACTTCGGAACCGCGCGCTGCGCCGACAGCTTCATCCCACGCTCCGGCGTGTTTGGGATGTGGGTGTACGAGGTTGTTTTCCAATCCCTACGGGATGTTGATCCATGCCGTGGGATGCTGATCCGTGCCAGGATTCTTGACGGTCGTGGCTTGGAAGGGGTTTTGGGTTTTTCCTCTTGGGAGAAAGTCCTGGGGGAGGGAAGAAAATGGATAATGGATAACGTTATCGCTGTGGGAATAATTCATTTTGATGTTGAATGTCAGGAAGTTTCAGCTCTGGGCACCGAGTGTGCATGGGACAGAGCGGAAAAATGTGTTTATTTTCTTCGGTTTTGGAGACTGAGTTAATGACTGCCCAGGAGCCTGGCTTTTCGTGGCGGGATCGGGGCCTAAAAACGTGTTTTTTAGGAAAAGGGCGTGGTTTTGTGGGATCTTGGGTAGGGTGACACCAGTCCCCGCTGGCAGTTGCTCTTCAAGGCCCCGGGGCTGGGCCTGGGAGGAGGGAGGCACTCGAGGGTGAGAGTGTGTGTGTGGAAGGAGGGTGAAGGGGCACCCGTGGCTCACTGGAGGGAGGGATGGCACCCAAGGGTGATGGGATGGCACCCAAAGGTGCTAAGATGGCACCCAAGGGTGATGGGATTGCACCCAAAAATGCCAAGATGGCACCCAAAGGTGATGGGTGGCACCCAAGGGTGATGGATGCCAACCAAGGGTGCTGAGATAGCACCCAAGGGTGATGGATGGCACCCAAGGGTGATGGATGCCAACCAAGGGTGCTGAGATAGCACCCAAGGGTGATGGATGGCACCCAAGGGTGATGGATGCCAACCAAGGGTGCTGAGATAGCACCCAAGGGTGATGGATGGCACCCAAGGGTGATGGATGCCAACCAAGGGTGCTGAGATGGCACTAAAGGGTGATAGATGGCACCCAAGGGTGATGGGATGGCACCCAAGGGTGCTGAGATGGTGCTAAAGGGTGACATCCAAGCCTGATGGACGTCACCCAAGGTTGGTGGACAGGACCCAAGGATGATGGGATGGCATCCGAGGGTGATGGGACGGCACCCAAGGGTGATGGGATGGCACCCAAGGGTGATGGGATGGCATCCGAGGGTGACTGATGACACCCAAGGCTGCTGGCTGGCACCCAAGGGTGATCAGTCGCACCCAATGATGATGGCCACCACCCAACACAGTGTCCCTATCCCGGCTCTTCCCACAGCCAAACCCTGGATGGATGACGGGAGCTGCCCCCCCAGCCAGAACTGGACGGAGGGGCAGGAGGAGACCCTGCGCTGCAGGGCACGGGGCAACCCCCCGCCCCACCTGGAGTGTGCCAAGGACGGGGAGCCCTTCCCGGCCGGGGTGCCGCACCCCGTCACCC